TAATATGAGAAAATGAAAAAATGGAAACAAAGTCTTTGTAAATAGGGAGGGGTGGAGGCGTTGAAGGGAGGGCAGGGAAAGGGGGAAAAATAAGAACCAAGGGAGATTATGTACAGGTGCAAATTTCCAATGATGAATGTCATCATATTGTATACCTAAAATGTACCACTAAAATAAAAATTTAAAAATAATACACCTTCCTCCCAACCCACACTTTCTAACCTCCATCTCCACCATGAAATTTAACCCAAAATCTTATCACTGATTCTTTCTATTCTCTGAAAGTACATGGACACCCTATGGAAGACAATTATAGAGCACATTCTGAATTTCCCAGTGCCTAGCATAGTCCTTGACCCAAAGCAGGTGCTCGGAGAGATAGTGTTTGCTGTGAGACAGAAGAATTTGTTTGGTGGGCATCACATAAGTTTGAACTGATTAGATAGTATTGTATTGTTTTGTGCAAACAGAAAAATGCTGATATGAATATACCAGATAGAATAAATAATGTTGTTCAATACATCATTAAGCAATGGAAGATACTATTATCAGTTATTCTCTATGTGATTTCTTTTTACTTTATGTTTAGAAGACAAAGGAAGAGCCAGGCATGTGGGTCCCTGCCTGCAATCCAGCAATCTGCGGGCCAGTGGCAGGATTACAAATTTGAGCCCAGATTTGGAAATATATTAAATTAAATAGACCCCATCAAAATTAAACACTTTATTAGGGGCTGGTGATTTAACTTATTGAAAAGACCTTGAGTGGATTCCCCAGTATGAAAGGAGAGAGAGAGAGAGAGAGAGAGAGAGAGAGAGAGAGAGAGAGGGAGAAGAAAAGAAAGCCAAAAAAAGGAAAAAGAATAAAGGAGGGCTGGTGGCTCAACATGTCAAATGAGCTTCTGAGCCTGCACCTGTGAATAATAGAGAAATAATAAATTTGACCTAATGAGTATTGAATTTCTCACTAGATATGGAGCAGTGTGTGAAGTGTCCAGATCATCAGTATGCCAACATTCAGCAAAACCACTGCCTTCTAAAAGTTGTGACTTTCCTGGCTTATGAAGAGCCCTTGGGGAAGGCTCTGGCTGGCACTGCCCTGAGTCTCACTCTCCTCACAGCTGCTGTTCTTGGGCTCTTTGTGAAGCACCGAGGCACTCCCATTGTCAAGGCCAACAACCTGGCCCTCAGTTACACCCTGCTCATCTCCCTCACCTGCTGTTTCCTCTGCTCCTTGCTCTTCATT